TCTCTCTCTCTCTCTCTCTCTCTCTCTCTCTCTCTCTCTCTCTCTCTCTCTCTCTCTCTCTCTCTCTCTCTCTCTCTCTCTCTGTGTGTGTGGGGTTGTGCTGGGTGGTGGTGTAGGGGAGAGTGTGTGTGTGTGTGTGTGTGTGTGTGTGTGTGTGTGTGTGTGTGTGTGTGTGTGTGTGTGTGTGTGCGTTGATATCAACTGGCGGCCTTGGATCATTCAGTGTTTTCCTGCAGTGCATTGCCGTCTGGTTTAGAAATGAACACAGAACAGCGTAACGATAGATGCGGACAGGCAGAACAAAACCTGTGTTCCCATTGCTCTCTCCCCCCCTCTCTCCCACCCTGACAGATGGATGCGCGCTTGCCTGCCTGGGCACTGGTGCATGCACGCACACAGCCGACATGCAGGCATGTACACAGGCCCGCGCACAGGCGCACAGGCATGCAGGCCACACACAGGTATGCAGGCGGGCACCTGCCCAGCTCCATACAGATGCATGCTGGCACACAGGTACACACAGGCATGCACAGAAGTACATAGGCACACATACATGCAGGCAACCAAACAGGCATGCATGCATGCAATCATTTCGGCAGGCAGGCAGGCAGGCAGGCAGGTGCTCATGCGTGCGCACCAGTATGGCGGACATCGATGTTGGCTGATCCTTGATAACGCACACATGCACAGAGGAATGAAAGCCAATATAGGCTTGCCTGTAGCCCCCTTGCTTCCCCCTTCTCAAATCTCCACCAATGCATGGCCACTGTCGGAATTCACCTGTTTTCCTGGTGTACCCCAAAGAGCCTCTTTTCTTCTGGAATTTAAACCATGATTCCCTTTCCCCCAGCTATCTTATTGCCGTGCACAGCGCTTAGCATGCCGCATTAACAGGGCCTCAGCATACAGGAAGAAAAGGCTGGAGGCACCAGACACAAGAAAAGTGTGTACTGTCTGTCCGCTGCGGTTCATTTGCTTTACTGTGCAGCGGAAGTCTGGTTCGGTGAAAAGAAAAAGACTCTGAAGTTGTACTGTCTGTTCAAGTGAACCATAGTAACAAACACCTTATCGCTTATCGAACAGGCAAGAAGAGTGGTAAAAAAAAGAAGAGTGGTAAAAAAAGAAAGGAAAAAAGAAGTGGTAAAAAAAAGAAGTGGTAAAAAAAAAAGTGGTAAAAAAAGAAAGGAAAAACGAAGTGGTAAAAAAAAAAAGTGGTAAAAAAAGAAAGGAAAAACGAAGTGGTAAAAAAAAGAAGTGGTAAAAAAAGAAAGGAAAAAAGAAGAGTGGGAAAAAAAAGAAGAGTG